AGCACTACATATGTTTTTTTCCTCAATGTAGCACTTTTAGTCATTATCCATTAGTCATTATTCAAGTAAATGTTTGCTATCACTGGTCATTATGGACATTATAAAGTGCTATTTAGGGAAGAAAACAATCTAAGTGCTATTTAAATAAATGACTTAAGTTTCAGTGCTATTTAATACAAATATTTCTTATTTATAATCTACCTAATTAAACGTACTCACTACTCCGTAGTATATTTTAATTAATTTTATAAAAATATGGCATAATATTAAATAAATTATTATTATTATTATTATTGTTGTTGTTGTTGTTATTGTTGTTACCACTACTTCTTTGACACCACATTTGAGTGTCATAATATAATGCTAGATTTTTGTGGCATTGGATCAGGGAAAAAGGAAGAAAGAATGAAAATATATAGGTTTAACCCATTGTATTAGTATGAGCTGAGGCCTTTTTTTTTAAACAAACATAAAATTAATTCACGAGATTAGGAAATCCATACACTACATGAAACCTCCGCCTTCCTAGCAAAAGAATGAGCAATAATATTTTTTGATCGGGAAATAAACAGAAAATTAACAACAATGAACTCCAAGCCCAACAACCGGCAATCTTCGATAAGCGAGCCAAAGTAGGATATAGAAGTATGAGGCCTTTTAAAGTTGTTAAAAAACAAATTAATGAGAATTTGATCTAGAGCGGACAATATCATACTAATGCAGTGTTAGGTGAGTGCACGCACGATCGCAATATGTGGTGGTATCAGTGCCCATTTTCGTGCAGGCGGGAGCAGCAGACTGCGCAATATGAAAAGACCTCGGTGTGACAATCTAATAACACGACCACGATTAAAAAAGGGGACCCATTAGTATCAGGCCTTATTGAGAGGTGCCCAAAAATAAATTCGTGAGGGATTGACCTAAAGCAGATAATATCATAATAAAGTGGAATAATATGGGTGAGTGTTCAAACAATCGCAACATGTGGTATCGAGGTCCTGGTTTGTGCGGGCAGGAGCGACGAATTGTGGAGTGTAAAAAAACTATCGGTGTTACAATGTAACAACAACATAGCCAATTCAAGACCAAAAGGGATTTGAAGGTGGTACCTTGTGTTGAAAGTCGGGCAACGTGTCTCGTGGAAGGTGTAGCGGCAATGTAAGATGGTTAGGAGATAAAAATAAATTATCGCTAGAGAGGAGATCAAAAGTTATGTGGCCCTTGTTTGAGGGGATGTTTGCTCGAATGTCCTCGCAATCCCACATTGAAGGAAAAAGGGAGAAAGAACCAATATATATAGGTTCGATCAATCCTCTACGCATTACTATGAGGACTTTTGAAAGGGTGGTCAAAAACAAATTCGTGAGAATTTGGCTAGAGCAGACAATATCATACTAATTAATGAGGGTTGAGGTGAAGGTAGACGCGGTCCCAACACCAGGTNCCCCCCCCCGTTGCATGCCTACCCCTACCGAGTAGGACTCCTTAATTATATGTACCTAAGTACCTTGCATAGGGGAGGTTTGTTGGGAGGTCTTCACAGTCCCACCCGAAAGAAAAGAACCAAAATATATAGGTTCCATCAATTCAACACATTAGTATGAGATCTTTTGAAAGTTGGTAAAAAACAGTCAAAGATGAATTCTTTTTTATCCAAACTTCTTTAAACATATTGATTTCGCTTATCATTTATTGAATATTTTTAACACTTTCTTTTTTCAATATTTTTTAATTTTTTCCAGTTTTTCCAACTTTTTCCTATTTCTTTTAAGTCCTTATAGTTTTTTTCAACTCTTTCTATTTTTTTCCAACATCCAATTTTAGAATTTCAATGAAAAGAACAGACACAACTATTTTATATTTTTATATTTTTATATTTTATTTTGATATTCAAATAACAAGATCCGTACAATAACTAATATATTTACAAAATTTTATCAAGTGCCTAAAATGCCAAATAAAACATACTTACATTTTTTTATCAGAGAGATTGCTTCTATGGTACACCTTGGGTGCATATCATTTTTGCACTTTCTCACATAAATTTTCTTTTTTTATTTTTAAATTTTTAATTAAAATAAGTGTTCATCAAGGTAGTTAGGATTTGCTTATTTTTCTTATTTGTAGATCTATGAGGGACCTTATATCCATAATAGAATTTGCCCTCTAATAAAAAGAGTTTCTTGGACTATAATTTAATTCTTATTCGTTCTTTTAATGATTATTTCAAATTTTTAATTTATTTTTCTTTTCAAAGAAATGGTTTGTAATTAAGATTATTTAATTTATAGAATAGATTTGTGACATATAATTATAATTATTATGAGACCTAGGAATCTAGGATGAATTCAATTTAAAGCACATGACCATTTAAAATGGGAAGACAATAATAATGGAGGTATACTTTTGAATTTTCTCCAATAATATAATACTCCGTACTAATGATTTGATTTGATTTCGGAGTTAATGGAAGCGATGTAATTAAAAATATTGGTTGAGAGATAATCATACATAGTTTTCAAAACCAAAAAGTATCATGAACCTTGATTAATCAAACAAAGAAAATCGGCAAAGTTTATACCTATTTGATCCAAGTTGGTTCTTTTTATTTGATTTTGTATTCAACATTTTTTAACTTTGACCATATTATAGAAAAGTACATTGAAATATAATTTAAATTTAATATCAATTATTTTATTTTGAAATATAGTTTGAATTTCCATATTTTTATAATATACTCTTAAATATTAATATATAAATAAAGATATTAACGATCAACGTATTAAATTGGAGACCGTGAAAGTCAAATAGAAAGCATCAACATTGACAGAAGGAATATTATAGTTTCCCTCCGTCTCTGAAAACTTTTCTCTTTTCATTCGTCTTGAAAAACTTTTATCATTTCTATCAAAAAATCACGTTTACCTTACTAATTCTTAACTTACCTATCACATCACATCTATTCACTATTAATCTACCTATCAAAGGCTTATTTTACCTATCACATCTAAGGATATTTTTAGAAACTCAACACCAAAATACACTTTTTTTAATTCTTTAAAAATTACAATGTCTCATGTTTTAGGGACGGATGGAGTATAAAGACACTTTTCTTTATTTCTTTTATATTGTAATTTATTATGCATATAAATGGGATTATATTATATACTGCAATAATTTTTAGTAATCATCACTCTTCTCTATAAATTTATGATCCAATTCGATACTTTAGAAATCACTCTAAATAGAACTAAAACATAGAGAAAAGAATCAAAATAAGACTTTCATATTTTTTTTCCCAAAATAGAACTTCGCACTGTGGTAATGTAGTTGTAATGTGGCATTGTACATTTGCACATTACTATACTTTTTGGTAATGTAAATGACCATGTTTGATAATATAAATGCATTTTAAGTTATATTTCAAGAATGAAAACATAGAAGTCCTATTTTGGTATATTTTTAATGTTTTAGTCCTACTTTGGTTTTTTCTCCCTTGATACTTCCTTCATCCTAGAGTATATGTCCAGTTTTAACTGTTTGCCAAAGAACCAATCCAACCACAAGCTCAAGCTTGTGATTGTGGCCTAGGAAGAGTTATTTATATTCTAACACGCCCTCACGTGTAGACGTAGTTTTTTTTCGAGCCTTGCACGTGAACTTTTATTTTCTTAAAATTGAGTGACGCTGAATTTCGAACCTGTGACCTCTTAGCCAACAAGGCTCCGATACCATGTCAAAGAACCAATCCAACCACAAGTTCAAGCTTGTGATTGTGGCCCAGGAAGAGTTATTTATATTCTAACACTTAGGCCGACCTTCGACATATAATTAAATAAAAATTACATGGTATAATAAGTCATCACACATAATAATATTTTGAAAATATTTTATAAGATAAATGCAATAAAATTATTCTTTTATCAATATCTAATAACAATTTTGTTTAAGTAATAATCGATATGTATAAATTTTAATAGTTAAAATTCAAAACGGGGAAAAATACTCTAGTATAGAAGTAGTATAAGTTTAAGCATATAGGTTCGACATTTGGAAAAAGATTGTCAAAACACTAATAGCCAACATTGGTATCTTAGGTATGTGGTCTTGAAGTCTTGAGTATGTTGAATTTATTGAAAAAAAATACTGAAATTTGAAATCTTACATATAGTGTCTAGACTCTTAAATTAGATTTTACTATTTTAATTCTTAAACTTGAAAGAATTAAGTAAATGGGGACAAAGGTCCATATAAATAATCAGAGCCAGTCTGGAATTATGAAAAAATGATATTGGCCTTGTGCAAACTTATGTTTTAGGTCTTATTTTATTTTTTCAGAGTACTTGTGATTTAAAATTAGTACTGAATTTACTTTTTAGTAATCAGTTTTATAACAATTTGAACATTAAAATATAAATTTATATTAAAATTAACATGCGAAATCGATAGTTAAATAAGAATGGAGAGAATATGTATGTATCTCTTACAAACATACTCCATATATATTTATCATTTGTGTATAAAACTATGTGTAATTTGAGATACCTCTATCAGTACTAATCTATAATTTGTAAATGAGTGAGTGATGTTGTGCAGTTGGCAAAGACAAAGAAGTAGCAATGCAGTAAGATTCGAGTTTGATTTACAACAATTATACTAAGAGACAACTATGCTAAACATAAAATCTCGATCTGAACTAACCCTCACAAATGGAGCTCGCCTTCTTTTCTTCTTTTTTTAGAGTGTAAATGAGAGAATCATGTAAGGCATTGTTTAGTGCCCCCACCCTACACTCCATAGTCCATACCCTCATGCCCCCTCCTCTTTTCTCTTCTATAAGTGTTGCATGATTCCTTGATACTACTATATCTTATGCTAGCTACCTTTGTGTTGCATGTGCCATTCTCCCCCAACTTATTTTTCACACTTCCCATTATATATTTTGCTTTCTTCCCTATCTCTAATTTGAAAACCCCATAACCATTCCACAAGTTGTGTATGCACATTTGAGAACAATAATACTCTCCAATGGTTAGTGGTGAATCTCCCCGAGATTACTCGGTCGGGTCGGATCGAATGGTTCGGTCCGACCCGATTTGCGTGCGGGAGGAGGGGAAGAGGGCAAAGAGGATAAGGGGAGGAGGGGATAACACCCGGCACCCGGTCTACCGCGGGGTGAGGATGAGGAGCTGGGGGAAATGGGTGTCCGAAATCCGGGAGCCGCGGAAGAAATCCCGCATTTGGCTCGGGACATTCCCGACGGCGGAGATGGCGGCGCGTGCGCACGACGTCGCCGCGCTCAGCATCAAGGGGGCCAACGCGACCCTCAATTTCCCAGATAATACAAAATAGAATATAGGTAACTGTGTTTTGTATAAAAAAAGATAATTGATATGGATCATATATTTATTTTCTTAAAATAAAAAAGGAAGAAAATCTTAAGAGAAACTAAATATGAGAGATGGAAAATAACTATAGGACCAAAGGGGTATCATTTTGGGAGTAACGTACTCTGTTCTCTGTTTTTTTATACATTCTTTTTTTTAATATGAATCCCAACAAAATTTACTTTTTTCAAGTTAAAATTACTCCGTAAATGCGATGTTTTTTTCTTTTGATGACAATAAATGGGAATATGGGTTGTTTAATGTGAAATTTAGGATGTAGGAATATATATATAAATACAAATACGGAGTATATTATATACTTGTTCTATCCCAAATTCATTTGCATTTTTCGAATAGCGTGCAAAATTTTATTTTTTTAAAAAAAATAATATATCTATAAAATTTTGTAAAAATAAAAAGTACAAGAATATCAAAATTAATGTCTACAAAACAAGATGCAACAAGAATATTTTATTTTACCAAATGATCAATAAAAACGACACACTCATAAACTAAAGTTATCGAGATACTCAAATAGTAAAACATTTGTAAATTATTTTGGGATGGAGAGTATAGATTCAACTTAAATTATCTTAAAATTAACATAAAATTAGTGTTAAAAAACATAAAAGTCTTTGCACATGAATTTATTGTAGGTAGGGGAAAAGGTGAGTAGGAATATTCTTGGAATATTTCTCTATCACAAAGGATGAGCCACATCCCCTCAGGCACAGTCAGACTGAAAGAAGGTAAATTAGACTTTAATCACAGATTGGTGGCAAAGAGTGAAGCCTTAGCAATCCATTCTTCAGAATTTCTAATTCTGAAAAAGTTGTCACATTGGGGTGTGCATTATATTATTTGGTCCGGACCCGGACTGATCTGAAACCCGATCAAAATCAGACTGAACTGGTCCCTTTCCGGTTGAGTCTTCGGTCCTCACTTTTTCCTTATTTGGTTTTCGGTCCGGTTTATTGAGTTTTGGTCTAGATCGGTGGACCGGTCAAATCTTATTATTATTATTTTTTTACATTTTTTCTATGTAATTCTATAATATAGTTTTAATATTTTTCTTATACTTAAAATTACTCTAACTTTATTACTAAAATATATTTTTAAATGTAATGTTTTTATTTTTTAACAATATTTTAAAACTAGTCCAATTCCAAATAAGAAATAAGATTTTTCAATATGAAAAGTGTGAAAAAAGTAAAAAAAATACTTTATCAAATAATGAAAAAATACTTTATCATACTTTATCAATATGAAAAGTGTGAAAAAAGTAAAAGTTTGATATGAAGCTCGAATAATGAAACTCTAATAAACAAAAATGAACATTATAAAAAATATCCCAAACAAAAACAATATAAAACAAATATCTATTTATCAAAAAAGTAAAAATAGAATAAAAAGAAGAACACTCTCTATGTAAAATAAAAATTATAAACAAATTTTCCATAAAACGGATAGAGGATATATTTTATATAAAATTTGTTTAAAAATTTAAAGTAATGGTGTTTGACAATGTTTAGTGTATGCTACACATTAAAAATTTATTATAGTAATAATTTTGTGCAATTGAGTACTTTAAATTAAATAAAAAATGAATTTCTTTTTAAAAATAAAAAATCACATTTATTCAGTCCGGACCCGATCCGATCTGAGTTTTACCTGTCCGGTTCCTGGTCCGATCGTTATTTTATACTCTCTTGATGTGAAGGGTAAAAGTAAATATATAATCAGGTCCCAAAAAGATCTACTCATTTCATTTTTTGTGCATCTCACACAACAGTTTTATCTTGTCTCAAATGTTTAAAAAAACTTTTAAAACAACTTTTACCCACAATAAAGAGTAAATATAGTAAATTTACGTAAAAATGTTTTATGAAATGCACAAAAAATAAAACGAGTAGATCTTTTTAGAACGGATGGAGTAGTAATATTCTCTATTCAGACTACTTATACTATAAATCTGGATGTAACATATTTTTTGTACATTCATATTAGTATGAACACTTATTTTTGAGTAACTGAATACTTATTTTGTAGCATAACCATATTTTAGAAAAATGAGTATAACCATAAAGTGTTACCCATTTTGACTAAAGTTGAAATTAAAGGAGGGATAATTTTGTGTTGACTTTCCAAAAATACCCTTGATGTGATGGGTAAAAGTAAGATATGATGTGTAGATTATTAGGAAAAAAGGATGATGTGATAGGTAGGGTTTGAAATAGTAAGGGGTAAAAGTGGTTTTTTAATAGAAATTGGTAAGGGATTATGGGACGCAATTTTTTTGAAATGTGTAAATCTTTTTGGGACGGAGGGAGTATTTGGTCAGGTCCTCGATCCACGAAACGTCCCTTATTCGGTCCCGGTCCAGGTTTGACCCGATGAACACCCCTACCCCTTCCGATAGTTGCCACTTGTGTTCTTTGTTTTCTACACTACCCCATGGGGGGGGGGGGGACTTTTGACACCACAATGCCTTTTTGGTCTATTCAATCTACTCCTTGAGCCAGCAAATCTTTCTGCTTTGCTCCCCTTTCTGGTTTTGGAAGATTTAGTTGCATCTCCACTTCCATTATTTCACCGGTTGTTTTCTTTTTTACCAATTAATTTATCTCAAATGTTCATGTCAACCCAAGTATTGAAATCCATACCATATAACCTAGATATTAAAAGTCTTGTGGGGTAGAAATACTTTTTTTACTTCTTCACGGTCTCATTTTACTTTTCACAGTCTCTAATGTTACACTCTGACCATTAATGTCCATATTTATACATAGATATATTTTTATTAAAATTTGATATTTTAAAAATACGTTTCATTGTGAATATATTGATATTAAATTTATATCACAATGTAATACTAGTGATGTTTGATACTCCCTCCGGTCCTAAATAAACTTCCCTTTTTTGACTTTTTGAGGATTTAAGGGAGGAATATTTTTGTGTTGACTTTCCAAAAATACTCTCGATGTGATGTGTAAAAGTAAGATGCGATATGTAGATTATTAGTAAAATGGTATGATGTGGTAGGTAGGGTATGAAAAAGTAAGGGGTAAAAGGGGTTTTTTAAGGGAAAAGAGAAGTTTATTTGGGGACAAAGAAAAAACGAAAGGGGAAGTTTATTTAGGGACGAAGGGAGTATTAATTAGTGATGTTTTACTAGTGATATTAAAATTTGTTTTACTTTTAATTAATACCTTAAATAAAACTTTTAATTAGTGATGTTTGATAGGGAGTATTAATTAGGGATGTTTGATAAATTGGCAAGTGATGGAGATCGCTCGGTGACGTTACGTTATTAGGAGTATTTAATTACGACTACTAACTTTTAAATTATTGGATGTCATTGCCAGCTAGTCAATTACTAATGATCTGCTCATTGGTTTGGTTTTGTGATTATTTTGGATTTTGGGAAAAAAAATAATTAATGTCTCCATTCTTCCCCTAAATTTTCTAAAAAAAAATTTTAAGTGATTCATATCAAATTTAAGATTTAATTAATTTATACGCCTAGTTAATTTAGAATACTAAATAAGATCTCTGTTAAAATGTAATCTCTGCTATACATAATTTATTAGCCAATTAAATATATCACAGAAAGTCTCAACAAAAAAAATATATATGACAAAAAGTCAATGTCTTCATTGGAAATATAGAAAGAGTAATTTACCTAAATAGGACGAAAACATAATGACTTTCTCAATATAGGACCATATGTTTTTATTTCCCAATGTAGGACCATTGGTCATTATCTATTAGTCATTATTCAACTAAATGTCCAACATCACTTAGACATTATTCTTCTCACTAGTCATTATTAAGTCATGTTTAGGGAATAAAAAAGTTTAAGTCCTACATTGGGAAATGACTTATGTTTTAGTCCTATTGAATACAAATTTCAATTATTAAAAACCTACAAGCCATGAGTTCAATGTAGCTAATATTTATTCTTACTACTTTCTTAATTTATTGAATTACCATATTTCTATTGAGTTCAAACTTGTAACTATCAATTTGAGAGTCCACAATGCCTCTTACTCTCGTATAATTCATGTCACAAACAAGTAGGAGAATCGCTACTAAAACATTGGCTCTATACATTTCTTAAGTTAAACAAATATGTATGAATAAATATTACTCACTCCGTCCCAGAAACTTTTCTCTTTTCTTTTTTCACCCGTCCCAAAAAACACTTCTCATTTCTATTAAAAAGTCACTTTTACTTCTTACTTTTGCATACCCTTACCTATCACACCATACCTTTTTACTAATAGTCTATCCATCAAATCATACTTTTACCTATCACATCAAAGGACATTTTTGGAAATTCAATACCAAAATACACTTCACTTAAATCCTTCTTCAAAACCAAAACTCCCATGTTTTTCCGGGACGAAGGGAGTATATGACAATACAACTAGTAGTACCAAGAAAGTACGTACAATTATACTCTTAATTGGGTGGTTAATTTTAATAGTTGAGTTATGTCTTATTGAAATTACAAGAAATTAACTCACTCCTACTCGAATAATTTTGCAAAAGACTAGCTCTTCTTCTAAGTCAACCCTCGTTAACAAAAAAAAAAAAAAAAAGAAAAAATCCTCCATCCAGAAATTTTACTCTCATTTTAATTTTCCAGGTCAAATTTTGTAAATTTTTGACATTGATATGCAGAAAAAGTAGAATATGTTATGATGATATAAATTCAATATTAATAGATTCTTTATGAAACATAATTTTGAAATATCAAAATTCATGAAAAATATTGATATATAAATATAGAAATTTATGATCGAAGTATTTTGTCCGTACTAAATTGTTCGCAACATTTCGAAAAATATGCAAAATGAATAAATAAACAAAAGTTATTGAGAAACCGAAAGAGTGACTGTAACATTCTTTTTGAAACGAAAAACGTATAATATTAGAGATCATGAAAAATCAAATGAGATTAATATTTTTGGAAAAAAAAGTATTCCCTCCGTCCCAATGTATTTATCCAGTTTGACTTTTTCGAGTCAAAATGGACAAACTTTGAAGTTCAATTAAATAAAAACCGTAGTATTGTTTAACATAAAAATAACTTTATTGAATTTATCGTATTGAGAACTTTCAAATTATATTTCATTATACTAATATGCAATATAAATTGAGAATAATTCAAATTCAAAGTTTATCCAATTTGACTCAAAAAAATCAAACTGGACAAATACTCTGGGATGGAGATAGGAATAATCATTGCGTATCGTTATTGACTCCTTTTTGCATTAAGAGGTCGGCATATAATTAATTAAATATAAATGTCCAATGAGATAATATAATGGCCGGTTTGGTACCAAAATTCAAACTCAAAAGTTTTGACATTAAGCTCAATCATTGTCCCTGTGTATAGCTCTTATTTTAAAAAGACCCTATAGCTACACGAATTATTGAGGGTATGTTTGGTAACAAATTCCCTTAACTCTAATGTGTATACTAATCTTTGACAAAATAAAAATTTCTACTTGTTAGAAATTTTACAAGGTCTCTATTTATTTAAAGAGGGTTTTGAGTTTGACCTTTTAGAACTGTTATTTTTTTGAGGATGACACAAAAGATGTTAGAACACACTATGACGTGATCAGCAAAGCTTGCGCGAAAATTATAGCCATGTCAGAGACCAATTGAGATTACAAA